TGTTCAAGATCAGATTATGTATGTGTACTATGCTCAAGATCAGATTATGTATGTATACTATGCCAAAGATCAGATTATGTATGTACTTTGTTCAAAATCAGATAATGTATGTATGCTATGCTCAGAATCAGATTATGTATGTGTACTATGCTCAAGATCAGATTATGTATGTGTACTATGCTATGTTCAAATTCAGATTATGTATGTGTACTATGTTCAAAATCAGATTATGTATGTATACTATGCTCAAGATCAGATTATGTATGTGTACTACTGTGCTCAAGATCAGATTATGTATGTGTACTATGTTCAAATGTTATGTATGTGTACTATGCTCAGATTATGTATGTATATCAGATTATGTATGTATACTATGTTCAAAATCAGATTATGTATGTATACTATGTTCAAGATCAGATATATGTATGTGTACTCATCTCAAGATCAAGATTATGTATACTATCCTCAAGAACATTATGTATCTATGTTCAAAATCAGATTATGGATGAATATTATTCTCAAGATCAGATTATGTATGTGTGCTTTGTTCAAAATCAGATTATGTATCTATACTGTGCTCAAGATCAGATTTTGTGTGTATACAATGGTCAAAATCAAATTATGTATGTGTACTGTGCTCAAGATCATATTATGTAAGTATATTATGCTAAAGATCAGATTGTTTATGTGTACTATTTTCAAAGTCAGATTACGAATGTATACTATTCACAAGATCAGAATATTTATGTGTACTATGTTCAAGATTAGATTATGTATCTATACAGTGCTCAAGATCAGATTTTGTGTGTATACAATGGTCAAAATCAAATTATGTATGTGTACTGTGCTCAAGATCATATTATGTAAGTATATTATGCTCAAGATCAGATTATTTATGTGTACTATGTTCAAAATCAGATTATGGATGTATGCTATCCTCAAGATCAGATTAGTTATGTGTACTATGTTCAAAATTAGACGATGTATGTGTACTAAGTTCAAAATCAGATTAAGTATGTCTACTATGCTCATGATCAGGTTATGTATGTGTACTATTCTCAAGATCATATTATGTATGTATACCGTGCTCAAGATCAGATTATGGATGCATACTATTCTCAAGATCAGGTTATTTATGTGTCCTATGTTCAAAATCAGTTTATGTATGGTCCTGTGCTCAAGATCAGATTATGCATGTGTACTATGTTCAAAATCAAATGATGTATGTATACTGTGCTCAAGATCTGATTAGTTATGTGTACTGTGCTCTAAATGAGATTATGTATGTATGCTATGCTCAAGATCAGATTATGAATGTATGTACTGTTTTCAAAATCAGATTTTTTGGGTGTACTATGCTCAAAATCAGATTATGTATGTGTACTGTGCTCAAGGTGAGATTATGTATGCATACTATACTCAAGGTCAGATTATGTATGTGTACTATACTCAAGATCAGATTATGTATATACTATACTCAAGATCAGATTATATATGTGTACCATGTTCAAAATCAGATCATGTATGTATACTGTGCTCAAGATCAGATTATGTATGTGTACTTGGCTCAAAATCAGATTATGTATGTATGATATGCTCAAGATCAGATGATGTATGTGTACTATGCTCAATATCAGACTATGTTTTGTACTATGCTCAAAATCAGATTATGGATGTGTACTATGCTCAAGATCAGATTATGTGTGTGTACTATTTTCAAAATCAGATTATGCATGTGTACTATACTCAAGATCAGATTATGTATGTGTGCTATGTTCAAAATCAGATTGTGTATGTGTACTATGCTCAAGATCAGATAACGTATGTGTACTATACTCAATATCAGATTATGAATGTGTACTATACTCAAGATCAGATTATGTATGTGTGCCATGTTTAAAATCAGATTTTGTATGTATACTGTGCTCAAGATCAGATTATGTATGTGTACTTTGTTCCAATTCAGATTATGTATGTCCACTATACTCAAGATCAGATTATGTATGTGTACTATGTTCAAGATCAGATTATGTATGTATACTATGCTCAAGATCAGATTATGTATGTGTACTGTGCTCAAGATCAGATTATGCATGTATACCATGCTGAAGAGATATTATTAAAGTTTACTGATGTGAAACTGTATTTTTGGTTCCTGGACCATTCCACTTGATTTAAAGGTATTACAGAGGTAGTTGTTGGTGCGGGCAACCATACCATATGTTGTTTTAACCCCTATTACTAGTGGAACGTATGACTAACGGTAGGACACCCTTTAGGCCTTTATCGTATGATAAAGTACTCTCGAAGCCTTTGATCTTTCTGCGAAGCATCTTTGGAATATCACTTATGTACATTTCAACGTCTCAGTGTGAGACTAAGCTACATGGCGGTGAAGTCACTAGCATTGCTATTTCTGTTTGCTTTCTAAACGTCACTGAATATGATTATCAACGGGTCAGAATGCCCTTCCCTCTCCCCACCCTCAAACCCAACCCCGCCGTGCTTCCTGTCCCATCCCCATATTATGAGCGAGTATTCTATTCTATAAGAGCATTGATACATTTGTGTATGTGCATGTATTTATTCACTCCGCCATGAGGGTAACGCGCATTTGATATGGTTCAATTGGTGATATAACAATATAACATGCGCATACTTGTACTTTCTTCACCAAACGAGCCGGTCGCCACTGAAGTGTGTCACGCTATGGACACTAAGTTGCAATAGATGCATAAACAACTCACAATCCATCAGATCCAGTCCGTCGTTTCTTTCATGAAACAAGCTTAAGTATAACTAGCGACTGACTGGCGACAATTCGTATTTTCAGTGGTCCATCCATATTGCTTTCATAGCTGTGGTTGCTGGGTGTTCGTGTAAGTATGTGGAGCATATGTATAGTGGTAAATCTGGGGAGTATATGTGTGGTGTATATGTGGTGTATATGTGTGTGGTGTATATGTGTGGTGTATATGTAAGGTGTATATGTGTGAATTATGTGTGTGGTGTATATGTGTGGTGTATATGTGGTGTATATGTGCGAATTATGTGTGTGGAGTATATGTGTTGTATATATATGTGTGTATATATGTGTGTGAATTATATATATGTGTGAATTATGTGTGTGGAATATGTGTGGTGTATATGTGGTGTATATGTGTGGTGCATATGTGTGGTGCATATGAGGTGTATATGTGTGAATTATGTGTGTGGTGTATATGTGTGGCGTATATGTGGAGTAGATGTGTGGGGAATATGTGTGGGGAATATGTGTGGTGAATATGTGTGGTGAATGTGTGTGGTGTATATGTGTGGTGTATATGTGTGGATTATATGTGCGGTGTACATGTGATTTAGATGTATGGAGTATATGTGTGGTGTATATGTGTGGTGTATATGTGTGGAGTATATGAGTGGATTATATGTGCGGTGTACATGTGACTTAGATGTATGGAGTATATGTGTGGTGTAAATGTGTGGTGTACAGTGGTGTATATGTGTTGTGTATATGTGTTTTGTAAATGTGTGGTGTATATGTGTTGAGTATGTGTGTTTTGTAAATGTGTGGTGTATATGTGTTGAGTATATGTGTGGTGTATATGTGTTTTGTAATTGTGTGGTGTGTATGTGTGGCGTATGTGTGTGGTGTATATGTGTGGAGTATATGTGTGGTGTATATGTGTTTTGTAATTGTGTGGTGTGTATGTGTGGCGTATATGTGTGGTGTATATGTGTGGAGTATATGTGTGGTGTATATGTGTTTTGTAATTGTGTGGTGTGTATGTGTGGCGTATATGTGTGGTGTATATGTGTGGAGTGTATGTGTGGAGTATATGTGTTTTGTAATTGTGTGGTGTGTATGTGTGGCGTATATGTGTGGTGTAAATGTGTGGAGTATATGTGTGGTGTATATGTGTTTTGTAATTGTGTGGTGTGTATGTGTGGCGTATATGCGTGGTATATATGTGTGGTGTATATGTGTGGTGATAAATGTGTGGAGTATATGTGTGGTGTATATGTGTTTTGTAATTGTGTGGTGTGTATGTGTGGCGTATATGTGTGGTGTATATGTGTGGAGTATATGTGTAAAGTAAATGTGTTTTGTAAACATGTGGTGTAAATGTGTTGTGTAAATGTGTTGTGTGTATGTGTTGTGTATATGTGTGGTGTATATGTGTGGTGTATGTGTGTGGTGTATATTCGTAGTGTATATGTGTGGTGTATATGTGTTGTGTAAATGTGTGGTGTATATGTGTGGTGTATATGTGTGGTGTATGTGTGTGGTGTATATTTGTAGTGTATATGTGTATATGTGTGGTGTATATGTGTGGAGTATATGCGTGGTATATATGTGTGGTGTATATGTGTGGTGTAAATGTGTGGAGTATATGTGTGGTGTATATGTGACTTAGATGTGTGGAGTATATGTGTGGTGTAAATGTGTGGAGTATATGTGTGGTGTATATGTGACTTAGATGTGTGGAGTATATGTGTGGTGTAAATGTGTGGAGTAGCTCTGTGTATGTGATAGTTCTAAAATTTCAAAGGTTTATACCAATCACACATAGGGAGAGTCAGACCCGGGTACCTGCCCCAGGGCCTGACCGTTTGCGAAGGTACAGTAATACACATTATGTTCCCATGAATGTTGTACGTCATCAGTAACCATGGAGGACACGACAGAGAAGTTGTTGGCGTCATAGCCGATATCGTCACAGGGCGGCGTGCCGTCTTGTCTACCCCCTTGCCATTCAAGCAACTTTGCAATAAGATGGTTCTGGGGGTGGTGGGAGGTGGGGGTTGCCGATGAGTTTCATTGGACCAAATGTCAAGTACTACTACTATTACTACTACTACTACTACTACTGCTGCTACTACTACTACCACGGCGAATTGTGGCACCCCGGAAGGCTCAGACATATGGTACCTGTCTCAACACTGCGGGTAGTATTGCCTATTATCTGCAAAATGGTGCGAATATTTCATAACAGACTTACAGGAGTCCATAAGATTCTTGATCAATATGTTAGTGGAGTTCTTGCTCCGTACGGCACCAGCTTCCAGGAAGGCAAAACCACATTGCATCACTGAAACACAAACACATACTATTAGTTTTCCTATTACTTGAACACGTATGTTTTATTGGGCTAGATATTTTACCTTTTCGAGTGTTGTGATATTATATGACACAGTACCCCGCACTCAATATTTACCACAATAGAGTGACAGCGGACTGAAAATCGAATCTGGACTAGACAATCAAGTGACTGACAATGTGAACAAGTGGTACGATATCACATACTTGTACAAACGTCAGTGGATGGGGACATAATCTAATCCGACATAATCCAGGGTGAGTTTTGTTTTACGCCGCTTTTAGCAATAGTCCAGAAATATGGACACCAGAAATGGGCTTCACACATTGTACCCATCCGTGGAGAGGAATGCATGAGTTTATTAATGTTAATATTGAAAGTGACCCGTGAAGATCCGGGGTAGAATAGGTCTTCAGCAACCCATGCTTGCCACAAAAGGCGACTATGCTTGTCGTAAGAGGCGACTAACGGTCAGGCTCGCTGACTTGGTTGACACATCTCATCGGTTCCCAATTGTGCAGATCGATGCTCATGCTGTTGATCACTGGATTGTCTGATCCAGACTCGATTATGTACACACAGCCGCCATACAGCTGGAATATTGCTGAGTGCGGCGTAAAACTAAACTCACTCACTCACTAGTATTGAAAGTAGGTTAGTGAGAGTAGTTTTACGCTCCTTTTACCAATATCCACGCAGTGCCACGTGGGAAATAATGGGTTTCTCGCAGTAAACGGAAAATTACCCAGATGATTCACAGAACGGATGTTTCAACTGAGATGCTAATGTTAGCCCAACTGCTCGCAGTTTGGTTTTGCATGAATGTTTAATAGAAGAATGTAGGTTTTAACATTACAAGATACACTGTCATTGTCGGTGTAAAATTAACATGTGTTTAGGTTATATATCAACAGTCAGGGTGTTCACTTTTTGTGGTGCGACTGTCCTTGGAATTAAAAGATTAGCATCCTAACGGATACCCATTTACAGAACTGATGTTCACGGTCAAGTAATTTTGTATAAATGAGAGTGTTGTAAATGCGTTTGAGATTATGTGAGTGAGTGGGTAAATTTAGTTTGACGGCAATTTTAGCAGTACTCCGTCAATATCACGGCGGGGACACCTTTCTTGGGATTCGGACCTTGTATCCATGTGGGGAATCGGTGTGACGAGGGAACGTTTTAACAACTAGGCTACCCCAACCTCGTTCAAGATTGGAGGGTTCTATCGTGACGTGCCTTTGTCGAACCTATAGCAGTTCTGTGTCAAACCTGGATGGAGATATTTATAATGTTTGAGGGATTATGGATTTACAGCAGAGATTTTCATAATCCTAGTACCACAAGAACAATCAGGGGTATCAGATGTGGTGAAAATACAAATTGTTGTGAAAAAAATATATTAGGTTAGTGGAAAGACTTCCGCCCGTAACCCGTTTTTTATCATTCTATGCCTAAGATTCATTGTAAGAATAGATGTTTTTATAGAAAGCTTACCGTAACCCTAACCCTAAACCTTACATAATGCCAAATCTAAACCCTAACCTGAACCCCTTGAAATAATCATAATAAACAGAATACGTTTCAAGGGGGGTTACGTTACTCTTACCCCTGGTTGGGGCACATTTAGGGGGTAAGTGATAACGGATTTAGAGCAGCCGTTTGTCGGACCTGGATGGGACACATTTAGGGTTTTAGGGTGGGTGGGCGATAAAGGATTTAGTCTATCATGGCGGAAAACGCATAAAACAAGGGCTTCAGAAACTGCACCCGTGTGACACATATGCTCCGGGTAACTGGCGTGACACTGATACGTGACCTCTTGAAACAATGGGCTACCCCATGAGATCACTGATTTTGAAAGATCTGGTCATGAAATCTATTTGTCATCTTCGAAATGTATTTGAATATGTTTGAATAAACATTATGTACGCAACACATATACATAACATGGACAAATGTGTACTCACAGTAAACTACCATGCCCATTACTACCAGGAAGAACTGATCCAGGTTAACTTTAAGGTCATCCAAACTCTGTTGAAGAGTTGTATACTGCTCCCATGTCACGTTTGCCGTCGCCATGTTGTTGATATGTCTGAGGTATCACTGGGTCTTTCTAACTTTGACAAACTGACGAAATGATCATGAAGTCCCGTCCAGCTGACAGACTACCCCAAGCGCATAAACATTGGTCGCAGGCGATTGGCTGATCATGTTCACTCGGTTAAAAAACCGGGTGGTCACGCTATGGTGAGCTCTGTTCCACGCGTTCAACCCGTGGTGTATCAATGCGTTAACGAAACATGCCTGTATCTCTATTGTTAGCAGTAGTTTGACCTCACGCTGACATGGACATCCCCCTTCTGACAAAAGTACTCATTGCTGACCACTTATCGCGTGAGTTCGTTCCTCGTACTTTGTTGCATGACGTGTTTCTTTTGTGTGCGTGTTAAGGCAACAAATCTTGAATGTGATTCTTTGTCGACTATCCCTTCAAGTTTACAGCAAACAATATCGCTGTTTTTGGTCGTTTCAAGCGTCGAGGACATTTGTTTTTCCAGACAGGCAATTGAGCGTGTCCACCCCTTTGTCCACGTCTTAAGGTTGTGTCCTCAAGTAAAATGTACTACAAAAGAAGTCCCCATTACCTATTGCAGTGTTAAAATGCCTGCCCTAGATAATCTAAATATATATTGGGTATGGGTGCTAAGGGTGAAGCGGTTGGGAGAGGTGAGACAATCCATGGGTGAGACAATCCATAGGTGAGACAATCCATAGGTGAGACAATCCGCAGGTGAGACACTCCGTAGGTGAGACAATCCACAGGCAAGACAGTCCATAGGTGAGACAGTCAACAGGTGAGACAATCCACATTTGAGACAATCAACAGGTGAGACAATCCACAGTTGAGACGGTCAACAGGTGAGACAATCCACAGGAGAGAAGTTATGTCCAATCAATATAGGGCTGATAGGGAGCTTGTGACCCCTGGGGACCACAGGTCAACAAGTGAAACAATCCACAGGTCAGACAGTCCATAGGTGAGATAATCAACAGGCGAGACAATCCACCGGTGAGACATTCCACAGGTCAGACAATCCACAGACGAAACAGTCAATATGTGAGACAATCCATAGGTGAGACAGTCAACAGGTGAGACAATCCACAGGTGAAACTATCAATAGGTTAGACAATCCACAGTTGAGACAGTCAACAGGTGAGACAATCCACAGGTAAGACAGTTCGGTCCAATCAATATAGGGCTGATAGGGAGCTTGTGACCCCTGTGGACCACAGATCTGGGTACGAGATTGCCAAAAGATGTATTTATTTTTTCTTAATATATACTTGTTTATTGAATCTGCCTTATTACAAATATTCTTGTTGCATACACACTAAGTTAAAAGTACTTACATTGCAGACACCGTGTGGGCTACATACAAATACTGTTCATGTAATATGCGATAAATACATATATTGTTCATATGTTATTAGATGGACAAGGCAAATATGTCTGCTGTACATGTGCAAACTTCTTATGTTATACATACCTTAAGGGATGAAATCTTATATTGCACATGTCATTAATATTGTACATATCTTATGTGATCAATATTTATATTCTGTTTGTGTAATAAACACTTTTACAAATATGATAAATATTTATGTTGTACAAATTCAATGTGATGAATACTTATGTTGTACACATCTCATGTAATAACACTTATGTTGTACACATCTCATATGACAAATACTTATGTTGTACACATCTCATCGGATAAATACTTATGTTGTACATATCGTTTGTGGAAACTACTTATGTTGTACACATCTCATATAATAAATAGTTATGTTGTACACATCTCATGTTATAAATACTTATGATGTACACACCCTATGTGATATATACCTATGTTGTACACATCCCATATCATAAGTACTGATGTTGTACACATCTCATATGATAAATACTTATGTTGTACATAACGTTTGTGGAAACTACTTATGTTGTACACATCTCATATAATAAATAGTTATGTTGTACACATCTCATGTGATAAATACTTATGATGTACACACCCTATGTGATATATACCTATGTTGTACACATCCCATATCATAAGTACTTATGTTGTACACATCTCATATGATAAATAGTTATGTTGTACACATCTCATGTGATAAATACTTATATTGGCCATATCGTATGTGGAAACTACTTATGTTGTACACATATCATACGATAAATATTTATGCAGTACACATTTCATATGATAAATACTTATGATGTACACATCTTATGTGATAAATACTTATGTTGTACACATCTCATATGATAAATTGTTATGTTGTACACATCTCATATGATATATACTTATGTTGTACACATCTCATGTGATAAATACTTATGATGTTCACACCCTATGTGATAAATACTTATGTTGTACACATCTCATATGATAAATTGTTATGTTGTACACATCTCATATGATATATACTTATGTTGTACACATCTCATGTGATAAATACTTATGATGTTCACACCCTATGTGATACATACCTATGTTGTACACATCCCATATCGTAAGTACTTATGATGTACACATCTCATGTGATAAATAGTTATGTTGTACACATCTCATATGATAAATACTTATGTTGTACACATCTCATGTGATAAATATACTCTCCAAAAAAGAAACGCATCATGAAAACAGCAATTTCATGTAGCAATGAATTAAAACGTGATTCATTTTACAAACGGTTTTGCTCTGTTTATGAGTCCTATGGTGTTTATGTTTAAAAACATCACAACAAAACGCACCATCCGTAAAATACCCGTATTTAACAGCATGATTTTCAATTGCGGCGTGTAGTGTCACAGAATACACAATTCACATGCAATGCACGTGAAAGTTGGGGATCAGATAGTCTCAATGATCGGACTTTTGCTGACCGCTATTCGAGCACCAGTATGCGATAGAGATGGTCAGCCCAGGAAAACGATCGACGGAATGGGTAGTGCCGCTACCCCAAGTGGTGTCGGCTATCAACCACGAAACCACTCGGCTCACCGACAATAAACCGGCCGACGCTATCAAACTGAAATCAGTGACGGCCGAACCGGCTGCACCATTGCTCGGGAAGGAGAAACAGATACCCGACCGTGTTCTCGTGAGGTACCTCTACCAGCCGGGAGAACACGAAGGAGACACTCGGAAACGAGCCACCGATCCGACATGGTCGATCAAGATAACAGCATAGATAAAGTGGACATCAAACCCGAAGAGCTGAACTTGTACTACTTCAAAGGCGGGCCGCCGAGGGGGTTCGTCAGAGAGGAATTATTGATCATACCTCACGGCACAATGTTACCCCCCAAGAAGTAGCGATTCAAAATATTTAACCGGTCATAGTGACCAGGACGTTGGTTGGGGATTCAAAAGTGGTATATACACTAGCGGAAGAGATTAGGGCTTGATAAAAGCTTTATTTATGAAATAAAGCTTTACGGAGGCTTTTGACAAAAGTGATCTCGTACCCCAGTGTATATACTACTGTACAACATAAGTATTTATCATATGAGATGTGTACAACATAAGTATTCACCACATGAGCTGTGTACAACATAAGTATTTATCATATGAGATGTGTACAGCATAAGTATTTATCATATGAGATGTGCATAACATAAGTACTTATGATATGGGATGTGTACAACATAGGTAGTTATCGCATAGGGTGTGTACATCATAAGTATTTATCACATCAGATGTGTACAACATAAGTATTTATCATATGAGATGTGTACAACATAACTATTTATCACATGAATGAGTATCTCAGTGATGGGTATAAAAGGTTGATTGCTGTCTGTCGATTATTCACTGTATTTGGAATATTGTTGACGAACGCAAAATGCCACGCCTAAGTGAAGCAAACCGTCATATCGCCATTGGTTTGCTTGAAGCTGGCCAATCTCAACGTGCAGTTGCCCGACGCATGAATGTTCACCAAAGCACCATTCACGGCTCTGGGAGAGATGTCGCCTGCAGAATGCGGTAGCAGATGCCCCTCGTAGTGGGCGACCTCGAGCGACCACTGCAGCGCAGGATCGCTATATCCGGGTACATCACCTGCGTCATCGAACAGCTACGGCGACCAGTACCGCTCGACAAATACCCGGATTGAGGAGGCTTTCTGCACAGACCGTCAGGAACAGGTTGAGAGAGGCTGGTTTACGTGCCAGAAAACCTTATTTTGGCCCTGTGCTTCGACAACAACATCGTCGACATCGAGTCCAATGGTGCACCAACGTTCAGGCCTGGAACCTACCGAATTGGCATAGAATCTGGTTCAGTGATGAATCACGATTTCTATTGGAACGACGCGATGGAAGAATGCGGATGTACAGACGTCGACGTGAACGTTTCGCCGACGACAGGTGGACAGATTCGGCCGGGGCAATGTTATGATGTGGGGAGCGATCACCTGCCGTAGGAGAAGTGATTTGGTGATGATCCAGGGCAACCTGACAGCTCAACGGTACTGTGACGAAATCCTACGCCCACACCTCCTTCCAATCATTGATCGCCAGAGGGCACCAGGCCCCACACAGCACGTCACACTAGATACTTCCTCCAGAACCACAACATCAATGTGCTCCCCTGGCCCTCAAGATCATCGGAGTTAAACCCGATCAAACATCTGTGGGATGCCCTGGACAGACGGGTGAGACGCCGTAGCCCTCAGCTCCAGACACTTCAGCAACTCGCCCAGGCACTACAGGCAGATTGGGCTGCGAATGGGCAACACGAGATTCTGAGACTTATTCGCTCGATGCCGAGGCGATGCCGTGCAGTTCTGGATGCCCACGGTGGTCACACGAGGTATTGACTTCAGCGCCACCACACGTCTCCATGTGACACTAAAACTGACTTTCCTCGAGTTGGTGACAAAGACGGATATGTCTGCATTCCCAGTGTGCAATTTTGCAATATTTCATTGACTCATAAAGCCTAGAAGATGATTCAAAATAAACATAAAAATACAGTTGAAATTCCTATATGCGTTTCTTTTTTGGGAGAGTATACTTACGTTGTACACATCTCATGTGATAAATACTTATGTTGTACACATCTCATGTGAC